AATAACAATTTAAAAAGAGCTATATCCTCTCATTCCAATCCCCATCCGTTTCATCGTCTTGGCCGTTCCTGGGTTATTCTCCATCTCAAACTTGACTATTCCGGGGTTCCGAATGCTTGCTCAAAGAGCCAGGTTTTTACTCTCTTCTGAAAAGTCAGGAGGGAGGGGGCTGATCTAATATCCCTAGGCAGGGAATTCCACAGCCGAGGGGCCACCACAGAGAAGGCCCTGTCCCTCTTCCCCGCCAAGCATGCTTGCGAAGCAGACGGGATCGAGAGCAAGGCCTCCTCAGATGATCTTAACTTCCTGGAGGGTTCGTAGGAAGAGATGCGTTCAGATAGGTAGGCTGGGCCGGAACCGTTTAGGGCTTTATAGGCTAAAGCCAGCACTTTGAATTGAGCCCGGTAGCAAACTGGCAGCCAGTGGAGCTGATGCAGCAGAGGAGTTGTGTGCTCCCTGAGCGCCGCTCCTGTTAGCAACCTGGCTGCCGCATGCTGGACCATTTGAAGCTTCCGGGCCGTCTTCAAAGGCAACCCCACGTAGAGCGCGTTGCAGTAATCTATGCGGGATGTAACCAGAGCATGGTTTCATAAGCCAAAAGCAGGCCTACGATTCCCACTGAAATACTAATAAGTTTATTTTTGTTAAAATTGTTCTTCATTGAGTCCCTTGGGGAGATAGAGCGGAATATAAATAAAGTATTATTGTTGTTGTTGTTGTTGTTGTTTTTCAGTGTTTTTTGCACTACAAATAAGATATGTGCAGTGTGCATAGGAATTCATTCACTTTTTTTTCTTCAAATTATATTCCGGTCCTCCAACAGTTTGCGGGACTGTGTCCTGGCCCTCTATTTAAAAAGTTTGAGGACCCCTGATCTAGAGATCCAATGGTAGATTCCTTTTGGCCTTCTTCCCACTTTTTTGGGGAGTTACAGGATAAATTGGAAAATGCTGAGACCTAAAACAATAAACTGTCCTGAAAAGAACTCCACAGTACTTCATTTGGAAGGAGGAAACAATGTGGATGAATTCATCAGCCTAAATCCCATGATAATCCCAGCTAGAATAGGCTCACTGAACTGATGGAATTTTGGGCATCTACATGTAGAATTAGTACTGTTTGACACCACCTTGACTGCTGTAAATCAATGCTATGAAATCATCGGTATTGTAGTGTTATAGGGCCTTTACATTTCTCTGCCAATGAGTGCTGAGGCAACTCCCAGGCTTCTATATTGAGAGATGGCAGTTAAAATGATGACGAACTGCATTAATTCTACAGTTTTGATCAGTGATTCCCAAGCTGTGGTCCGTGGAAGTGGAACTCTCTGCCCTGGAGTGTGGTGGAGGCTCCTTCTTTGGAGGCTTTATAGCAGAGGACGGATGGCCATCTCTCGAGGGTGCTTTGAATGCAATTTTCCTGTTTCTTGACAGGGGGTTGGACTGGATGGCCCATGAGGTCTCTTCCAACTCTATTCTATGATTAGCCGTCCCTGCCACGCGTTGCTGTGGCCCAGTCTGGTGATCTGGAAAATAAAGTAATGAGAAAGTGTTGGTTTCTAATATATGTAATGTCTTTATGCTTGTGGGTAAACAGTATTTCTTGCTGTTCCTTTGTCAGTGTTAATGTGGAGATTGTCTGGTTTGCCTACTCTGGAACAGGCAACATAGAATTGTCCTTCTTTAGGGGTCCCTTTCAAATCTATGATACTACATCTCTCTCTGTGTGAATCATATCCTATCTATATCAATGGCTGGATGGCTCTTTGTCAGGAGAGCTTTGATTACATTTTCTTGCCCCAGTGGCCTTAAGTATTTTCTATTGGTCATGGGGGTTCTGTATGGGAAGACTGCACCAATTCTGACGTTCGTGGGGTTCGGAATGCTCTTTAATTGTAGGTGAACTATAAATCTCAGTAACTACAAATCCCAAATGTCAAGGTCTATTTCCTCCAAACTCCATCTGTGTTCATATTTGGGCATATGAAATATTAACGCCAAGTTTGGTCCAGATCCATCATTGTTTGAGTCCACAGTGCTCTCTGGATGTAGGTGAACTACAACTCCCAAACTCAAAGTCAATGCCCACCAAACCCTTCTAGTGTTTTCTGTTAGTCATGGGAGTCTGTGTGCTACGTTTGGTTCAATCCCATCATTGGTGGAGTTCAGAATGCTCTTTGATTGTAGGTTAACTATAAATCCCGGAAACTACAACCCCCAAATGTCAAGGTCTATTTCCTCCAAACGCCATCTGTGTTCACATTTGGGCATATGAACTATTCATGCCCAGTTTGGTGCAGATCCACCATTGCATGAGTCCACAGTGCTCTCTGGATGTGGATGAAGTAAAACTCTCAAACTCAAGGTCAATGCCCACCAAACCCTTCTACTGTTTTCTGTTGGTCATGGGAGTCCTGTGTGCCACGTTTAGTTCAGTTCCATCATTGGTGGAGTTCAGAATGCTCTTTGATTGTAGGTTAACTATAAATCCCAGCAAGTACAACTCCCAAATGACAAAATCAATTTTTTTAAGTGAAAGACATACATTGAGTTGTTTGGTGTATGCTTGGCAGTTCTGTGTGGGAAGTTTGCCCAAATTCTGTCCTTGGTGGGGTTTAGCATGCTCTTTGATTGTAGATGAACTATAAATCCCAGTAACTACAACTCCCAAATGTCAAGGTCTATTCCCCCCAAACTCCATCTGTGTTTGTATTTGGGTATAGAGTATTCGTGCCAAGTTTGGTCCAGATCCATCATTGTTTGAGTCCACAGTGCTCTCTGGATGTAGGTGAACTACAACTCCCAAACTCAAAGTCAGTGCCCACCAAACCCTTCTAGTGTTTTCAGTTGGTCATGGGAGTCCTGTATGCCATGTTTGGTTCAATTCCATCCAATGCTCTTTGATTGTAGGTGAACTATAAATCCCAGTAAGTACAACTCCCAAATGACAAAATCATTTTTTTAAGTGAAAGACATACATTGGATTGTTAGGTGTACGCTGCCCAAATTTGATGTCAATTCCCCCAGTGGTTTTCGAGTTCTGTTAATCCCACAAACGAACATTACATTTTTATTTATGTATATTTATTATTTACAACTCCCAAATGCCAAGGTCTGTTTCCTCCAAATTCCATCTGTGTTCATATTTGGGGGCATATGAATGCTCTTTGATTGTAGGTGAACTATTCATGCCAAGTTTGGTCCAGATCCATCACTGAATCCACAGTGCTCTCTGGATGTATGTGAACTACAACTCCCAAACTCAAAGTCAATGCCACCAAACCCTTCTAGTGTTTTCTGTTGGTCATAGGAGTCCTGTGTGCCATGTTTGGTTCAATTCCATCGTTGGCGGAGTTCAGAATGCTCTTTGATTTTAGGTGAACTAGAAATCCCAGTAACTACAACTCCCAAATGTCAAGGTCTATTTCCTCCAAACGCCATTTGTGTTCATATTTGGGTATATGAAATATTCATGCCAATTTGGTCCAGATCCATCATTGTTTGAGTCCACAGTGCTCTCTGGATGTGGGTGAACTACAACTCCCAAACTCAAGGTCAATGCCCACCAAACCCTTCTAAGAGTTTTCTGTTGGTCATGGGAGTCCTGTGTGCCACGCACAGGCCCGTAGCCAGGATTTTGATTTGATTGAGGGGGGCTGAGTTTGTTTCGGGGGGGGGGGCTGAGTCTGAGTGAAAGAGGGTCTACCCTAGCAAACCTTTTGTATCGTTACCCCAATACCCCCATGCATATGGGATATATTGAGCATGGTGATCAGATCAGGATATGAATAAACATAACAGTTTAAATAATGCACCAGTAAGGCCTTCTCGCGGACCACCATGAGAATTTCGGGGGGGGGGGCTGAAGCCCCCCAAGCCCCCCCCCCGCCTACATGCCTGGTGCCACGTTTGGTTCAATTCCATCATTGGTGGGGTTCAGAATGTTCTTTAATTGTAAGTGAACTATAAGTCCCAGCAAGTACAACTCCCAAATGACAAAATCAATTTTTTTAAGTGAAAGACATACATTGAGTTGTTTGGTGTATGCTTGGCGGTTCTGTGTGGGAAGTTTGCCCAAATTCTGTCGTTGGTGGGGTTCAGCATGCTCTTTGATTGTAGGTGAACTATAAATCCCAGCAAGTACAACTCCCAAATGACAAAATCAATTTTTAAAGCGAAAGACATACATTGAGTTGTTTGGTGTATGCTCAACGGTTCTATGTGGGAAGTTTGCCCAAATTCTGTCTTTGATGGGGTTTAGCACGCTCTTTGATTGCAGGTGAACTATAAATCCCAGTAACTACAACTCCCCAATGTTAAGGTCTATTCCCCCCAAACTCCATCTGTGTTCCTAGTTGGGCATAGGGAATATTTGTGCCAAGTTTGGTCCAGATCCATCATTGTTTGAGTCCACAGTGCTCTCTGGGTGTAGGAGAACTACAACTCCAACCCAGTTCAAAGCAGATAATGTGGGATTTGATTGAGCTGTGTGGAAGGGGCAGGGAAAAGGCAGAAAGAGGGGGAAAAGAAAGCAAGAGTGAGGAGAGACTGAACCCCCAACCTTGCAATTAATTCAAACTCTAGAGAAGATCAAAGCCTCCCTTTTGGAGACTTCCCCAAAATATTATTTTTTCTTGAGAGAGAGGAGACAAGGAGAAACCTCAAAGTAAACTGACTTCAAAAACGAGCTGATTCCTCTCCCTCCCCCCCATAACAGCTGTTGGTGGATCCCTCCCAAGTGAGAAGAAATCAATTGCCAACCCCCCCCCTCCCAAATATCCAGGGGAGGGGAGGAAGAGAGGGGAAAGACACCCCCCTTTTTTTTGCACTGATCTGCTCCTCCCTAAAAGGCAGGCAAGGCGAACCAATCGACGTTTGTGGCTGTGTGTGGCTCATGAAATCCTGATTTTTTAAACACACACACACACATACAGAGGAAGGTTTGGTTGAAAACCTTCTTGCAAGGAGTAAGGGCGGAGAGGGGGGGAATCTGTGGAGAGAGAGAAAAGGAAGGGAGGGAGGAAGAAGAAGAGGAGGAAAAGGAAGGGAGGGAGGAAGAAGAGGAGGAGGAGCAGACCCTCCAACGTGGAAAAGCTCTCCAGCCTCCTCTCTGGTCCCTTCCTGGCCAAGACTTGTTGCAAAGGACCTGCCTGCATGCTGAGGATCCACTCGGGATGTGTTTCTAATGGGCGATGGGGGCTGCCAGGGTCTCGACACTGGGGGGCCGCCCTGGGCAGGCTTTTGGGGGGGACTGAAGGAGGCAGGGGAGCCCTGCAGCCCAGGCATCATGCAGAGGAGCAGCCTGGTGGGCATGCCCAGCCCGGAGCCCAGCGGATCCTACTCGCAGCAGTTCAAAGCCATGAGGTTTTCCTACCACATCGAAGGGGGCGCCCCCTCTGCCTCGCCTGCGCCCCACAACCGAGCCGGTAAGCCCCAGCAGTGGGGATCGGGGCGTGTGTGGATGGAGCCAAGCCCCCCCCCCCCCTTGTGTTATCTCGCCCATCGATGCAGGGGATGGGCTGAGGCCAGGGCTCAGGGTGGCCTCTGAGCTGTGAAAGGGAAGTCTGCTCCAATGGTTCAAGCTTCCGGGTTCTGGGGAGTGGGAGACAGTGGGAGAAAGGCGGAAGGACCCTGCCCTATATCATCCCAGGATCTGATCCCAGTTCAAAGCAAATAACCTGGGATCAGATCCTCGGATGTATGGGCAGTGTAGAAGGGGCTGAAATACCTGGGGGCATCAGGGCCTTGGGATGTGGCATCTGCCTACATTGACACCACTTGGGCTGCCAAGGCTCACATCTGGGGAACCATGGGATTTGTAGTTGAACAACAATCACAACAACAGAGGAAGGAATCCAGCTTCCAAATCAATTTTTATATTGTTATTATTATTGCAGTTTGGCAACAACAACAGCAGAACAAGGAATCCTGCTTCAAAATCAATTTTCTATATTATTATTATTATTATTATTATTATTGTAGTTTCGCAACAACAACAGAGCAAAGAATCCAGCTCAAAATCAATTTTCTATATTATTATTATTGTAGTTTGGCAGCAGCAACAACAACAGAGCAAGGAATCCAGCTTCCAAATCAATTTTCTATATTATTATTGTTATTATTATTGTTGTTGTTGTAGTTTGGCAGCAACAACAGAGCAAGAAATCCAGCTTCAAAATCAATTTTCTATATTATTATTGTTATTATTATTGTTGTTGTTGTAGTTTGGCAGCAACAACAGAGCAAGGAATCCAGCTTCCAAATCAATTTTCTATATTATTATTGTTATTATTATTGTTGTTGTTGTAGTTTGGCAGCAACAACAGAGCAAGAAATCCAGCTTCAAAATCAATTTTCTATATTATTATTGTTATTATTATTGTTGTTGTTGTAGTTTGGCAGCAACAACAGAGCAAGGAATCCAGCTTCCAAATCAATTTTCTATATTATTATTGTTATTATTATTGTTGTTGTTGTAGTTTGGCAGCAACAACAGAGCAAGAATCCAGCTTCCAAATCAATTTTCTATATTATTATTGTTATTATTATTGTTGTTGTTGTAGTTTGGCAGCAACAACAGAGCAAGAAATCCAGCTTCAAAATCAATTTTCTATATTATTATTATTAATAATAATAATAATAATAAACTACCACAATAATAATAACAATAATAATATAGAAAATTTCTGCCAACCTAGCAGTTCGAAAACATGCAAATGTGAGTAGATCAATAGGTACCACTCCGGCGGGAAGGTAAGTGCTCCATGCAGTCATGCCGGCCACATGACCTTGGAGGTGTCTATGGACAACGCCAGCTCTTCGGCTTAGAAATGGAGATGAGCACCACATCCCAGAGTCAGACATGACTGGACTTAATGTCAGGGGACAACCTTTACATTTACCATTATTATTATTATTGTAGTTTCGCAACAACAGAACAAGGAATCTAGCTTCCAAATCAATTTTCTATATTATTATTATTATTATTATTGTAGTTTGGCAACAACAACAACAAAAGACCAAGGAATCCAGCTTCCAAATCGATTTTCTATATTATTGTTGTTGTTGTAGTAGTTTGGCAACAACAGAGCAAGGAATCCAGCTTCCAAATCAATTTTCTATATTATTATTATTATTATTATTATTATTATTATTATTATTATTATTATTGGAGTTTGGCAACAACAACAACAGCAAGGAATCCAGCTTCAAAATCAATTTTCTATATTATTATTATTATTTTTATTATTATTATTGTAGTTTGGCAATAACAACAACAGAGCAAGGAATCCAGCTTCAAAATCAATTTTCTATTTATTATTATAATTTTTATTTCTTACCAATCTCATGTTACAGGCAAAACACACAAACATTACAAAAATTCTATAAACAAATTACAATGTAGTTCTTCAAAAGATACATAGTAAAACGTATTTCTATAAGACGCATCTTAAAACGTATTTCTATCAAATACATATGAAATACCCAGGACAGATTACAACACAGGGCACGAATTTAAAATTAATCTCCGAGGTCATGTAACTAATTATGTTTGTAGTTTAGACTTATATGGAATCAGAGCAGAGATGTGTTGTATAGTCTGATATGTAATTGTTGTGTGGTATGTCTGAGTATCAGTGTTATGGGGTTTTTTTTTGTATTGTTGAAGGCTTTCATGACCAGAATCACTGGGTTGTTGTAGCTTTTTTCGGGCTGTATGGCCATGTTCTAGAGGCATTCCCTCCTGACATTTCGCCTGCATCTATGGCAAGCATCCTCAGAGGTCGTGAGGTCTTTTTTTTTGTGGCTTCTTTCTGTTAATAAAAAAACTATTGAATAATATTAATACTAATATTTGCCTACCTCTTGTTGGGGCAGGGTAAAAAAATGTTAAAACAAAGAGATAAGCCGTGTACGTATCAAGATTTTATTTGTGTTTTTCTCCTAATATTTTTTTATATTTAAACTAACAACAACAACCATCATCATAAATTATTTGCCTCCCCATGAGATGGGGTATTTATTTATTTATTTCAGACTTTTATATCCCGTCCTATCTCATTCTCTGCAGAGGGACTCAGGACGGGTACAACATTGTGAAAAGAAAGAGATAAATCACTATTAAAATACATATAATAAGATACACAGAGTTAAAATGCAGGTTCAGATTCACAAGTTGACATTGGCTGGGGAGGCTTGCAGGAAGAGATGGGTCTTGATCCTTCCTTGACAGACTCTTACTCCCATGATCCCATAACTGGTGTCAAACTGCATCCGTTCCATAGTGTAAATGCACCCATAGCTGGAGCAAATGTGGATTGTTCTCTTTTGGGGGATTGTCCGAAGCTGCAGCCGCTTTAGGTCCTAAATGAGTGTGTGAACTTGTTTTGTCTTCTGCCCTGTCCTGCCAAAGTTGCCCAAAAATACCCCGAAACCCTAGAATATGACCAGTTTTGTGGTCTTTTCTCTCAAAGCGGTTCCAGGGGTACAACCTGCCCTTCCCACTTTTCCTTCAGACCCCAATGTAGTCTTTTCCAGAGAATAATTTCTCTATTATTATTATTATTATTATTATTATTATTATTATTATTATTATTAGCAACCCTGCCATTTTGAGTCTTGGTCCCCCCCCCCCCCCAAAAAAAAAAAAAACCCAACCTCTGCAACAAGAAGCCAGCTTTTAAAACAAAGAGGAATGCAGTTGAATTGTTACAGAGGAGATTCGGGATTGGGGGAGGCTTGCCAGAGCATTCACTTCTGAGCAGGCATCTCCGCCCCCTAATTCCACCCCATCATCTTGTCAAAGACTCCTGATGCCTTGGAGTGAAATCCAGACTGCTGTCACTTTGCTCTCTCGGATGCAAGACTTTCAAATCCCCCCTTCCATTAGCATCACCCACCCATCCACCCACGCTTATTGTCTTGTTCCATTGCAGATACTTTTCCTCTCCTTTTCCGTGCCGTACTAGTTCAGCATGCTCTTGTTGCCCTTCTATTTTTGAATCTTCCCTACCTAAGATACACTAGCTGAATTCCTTGACACTTGGCTACACAAAGGCTCAGAACATTTCATGTGATGTGTGTAGCCTGGATCAATTCTATGTCTTGGCTAGATTGAAATAAAATTCTGAACCAGGATTACTCCCTTTTTTTTTTTCGTTTCTCTGGCGGTGCATCTACACCAGTGTTTCTCAACCTGGGGGTCGGGACCCCTGAGGGGGTCACGAAGGGGTGTCAGAGGGGTCACCAAAGACCATCAGAAAACACAGTATTTTCTGATGGTCATGGGGATTCCATGAGGGAAGTTTGAGCCAATTATATCGTTGGTGGAGTTCAGAATGTTGTTTGATTGTAGTGAACTATAAATCCCAGCAACTACAACTCCCAAAAGTCAAGGTGTATTTTCCCCAGACTCCACCAGTGTTCACATTTGCACATATTGAGTATTTGTGCCAAGTTTGGTGCAGATCCACCATTGCATGAGTCCACAGTGCTCTCTGGATATAGGTGAACTACAACTCCCAAACTCAAGGTCAATGCCCACCAAACCCTTCCAGTGTTTTTTTTTTTTTTGGTCATCTGTGTGCCAAGTTTGGTTCAAATCCATCGCTGGTGGAGTTCAGAATGCTCTTTGATTATAGGTGAACTATAAATCCCAGCAACTACAACTCCCAAATTACAAAATCAATCCTCCCCCAACCCCACTAGCATTTACATGTGGGTGCATTGGGTATTTGTGCCCAGTTTGGTCCAGTGAATGAAAATGCATCTTGCATATCTGATATTTATATTATGATTCATAACAGTAGTAAAATGACTGTTATGAAGTAACAACAAAAACAATGTTATGGTTGGGGGTCGCCACAACATGAGGGACTGTATTAAGGGGTCACGGCATTAGGAAGGTTGAGAACCACTGATCTACACTGTAGAATCATGCAGTTTGATACTACTTTTAACTGCCGGAGCTCAGGGCCATGGACTCATAGAAGTTGTAGTTTTACAAGGCCTTCGGCCATCTCTGCCAAAGCATGTTAGTGCCTTGCTGAACGACAGCTCTCAGGATTCCATTTCATTGAGCCATGGTTGTTAAAGGGTGTCAAACTGCATTAAACATGCTGTCTAGATCCTCCCTGGATCTGATCCCAAACTGTATCCTACCAAGAGGCCTTTGGCCATGGAATCATGGGAGTTGTGGTTTTACAAGGCCTTTGGCCACCTCTGACAAAGCATGCTAGGACTGATCCATAAGGTTTTTAATTCTGTGTGTTATTGTTTATATGTAAGTTATATTAATTGTACTTTTTTGTTGCTGTTTTGTTTTTACTGATGTGTTGTTGGGCTTGGCCTCATGTAAGCCGCCCTGAGTCCCCATGGGGAGATGGTGGCTGGGTATAAATAAAGTATCATCATCATCATCATCATC